TGAAATTTTATATTAAAAAATAGGATCGGCAAATATTAGAGATAGGAGAGACTAATTTTTCACTCCTCGGTAAAAACATCAATAATTTTTAAATTAATCGAGTGAACAGATATTTATAATTAAAATAGAGGTGTGAACAGTGTGGTATAAAAACTGTTGGCATTAATAAACAAAAATCGTTTTCAAGTATAATTTTTTTTAAATGTATTTGATTTTTCTCATTTCTTTTCTCATTTAGATATTAAATTAAATTCTAAAATTTTTTAACCTTAAATAATATTAGGAATAATCCACCCTCCACATTTTTATAATAATATAATATTTACCTATTTTGTGTATAAATTTGCTTTCAATTTCACCCAAAAGATCTCATAATAGAGACGTTGTCCCTCATCTATATAGCTACGATCTTTCTCTTATCTAACTAACATGCAACTTTGGTCGTATTTTCATCTCTTGAAGGATGACACAGTTCCAGTGTTTAGAGCTAGGTTTGAGGATACCATCTATCTTGAGGTCTCACGTTCAAACTTTGCACGGCAACATCAATCTCGAAAAATTAAAAAAATTGATAATCATTTTTAATTCATACTACTATTTTAGTATCAATTGTGTATTTGAGTAGAGTGGATATTAAGTTCCAAATTGAACCCTTCATTTTATCTACTTATTGTACGAATTGTGTCCCAAATAAATTTCACAAATCTTACGCATAAAAGCTCATTAATAATGTATGTCCAAATCGAAGACTTGACCCATATTTAATACGTTAATGACAGTACTTTGTAAAGTTTGATCAAAGATGGTGTGTTCAAATCTTCATCCATATCTTATAATAATAAAAAAATACTTGTCTCCTTAACCGTAAGGAGTTTTGTCTTTACAGTTGACAATTAAGAGATACAAATGCAAAAATAAATATTGTTTTTTTTCATAGAATGAGTTTTTAATTTTACAATGGTCGTGTTGTCCTTGCTACCATTAAAAAAAGAAAATCGACAATTCATTAACTTTTATAAAAGTATCTATTTTTGTATTTCGAGTAATTTTCTTTTCTATTTGATATAAACATAGTTCAAAATATATGTCGATATATCTACATTTCCATTGGCAAATCCATGTTTCCATACGTTCGACATCGACATGAGGGATAAATCGACATTTTCATGATAGTAAAAAAATCGACAAAATATGAAAAATATCAACACAATGTCACTAATATATACCTAATATTAACATTAATTATTTTTAACTTATTAGAAATAGGAAAATATTTATTTGTTAATTGAAATATTTTTTTTATAATTTTATAATTTTTCTAACTTTTACAGAAATATCTATCGACAACAACATGGACGTTTTATCAATATTTCATTCAATATTTTATGAAATTGACACCTCCATTCTATTGACATCAACTTTTAAAATCTTTGACTATAAAAGCCCTTTTATGAATCGCATATAACTCATCAGTCTTCACTCTATCAGCGAGAAATGGCGATTCAAGCTTGGCTACCGGTTCTAGCCTTGGCAATACTCCACATCGCAGCCCACAGTTCAACGGCGGCGCCGACAACCGCCGCCGCGCCGGAG